GAATTGATTTTCATACATGAAATATAATTTTACTCATTTTATGCTCCTATGTCTTACTTCTATCGATAATTTGTGTTTCAAAGAGACTGGAAGCCCTCAAATATGCTAAAAGTAAACTTTTTTTTTATTACCACTAAAGATGTCTAGTGTCGAGATTTAGTAATCATTTACAAAAAAGCCAATCTCCCTATTCTATCCATAGGGAAGGCCTGTGCCCCAGCAGTGGGGACATTAATAGGCTGATGATGATGATGATTACAAAAAAGCAAAACATGGAGGTATAGTATGACTACTTGTTATTCTATGGGTAAAATTTCTTTGACATGTTTAATTTTCGAGAAGGAAATCGGCGAAAGCCACACCTCTAATTTTTAAACGCAATTTTCAGAGTTAACTACTGTTGTCCCTATTTGCCAATACGTGACAGCAATAGTTTTTTATAAACCTACTAGCTGACCTAGCGAACTTAGTACCGCCATAAAAATAGGGGCAGGTGGTAGAAGAGAAAATTTAGAGTTTTATGAATTTTTTAATACCACGTTATAAAAAAATAAATATTATCCATAAAAAATTGAGGAGTGTATAACGTAGTGTTCTATCAATTTCCTAGGATAACATTCCTCCTAACCCATATGAGAACACTACGTTACAATACCCAATACTTTGAATTTTGGCGCGAAGGCGCATTGTAGGTATCAGAACACTACGTTACAGGTGGACAACCATTATCACTTAAGGATATGAAAAATAGATAGTAGCCGATTCTCAGACCCACGGAATATGCATATAAAATTTCATAAAAATCGGTCAGGCCGTTTCGGAGGAGTATAGTAACTAACATTGTGATACGAGAATTTAATATAGGTATATTATTTCTCGAATGTCTCTCAGCTGGCGTCCGCTTTTAACGTACCGTATGTATTCGATGTGAGTGTAGTCGGGGTATGAGATTGGGGTCCACACTCCGGCACCGTGGACGCAGGCGTCCGCTGCAGGCAGTGTATTACCCCGAGCTGTGTTTCCGAGCACTGGCGCATTCCTCAGATCATCTGGGGGTCTACTCTCTTTCTCGGAAACGAACTTTCTATAACGTAGTTCAAACGAAATTTAATTTCGTCAATTTAAGGTTATACTTAATTTGAACTATGAAATATCAAATTGAAGCTTTCTTTGAGTAGGCTTAGAAAATGTACACCTCAATCTATATTCCGACGACGAGTATTATCATATTTAAAAACGAACCAGAAATATAGTATGAAAAGTGGAAGGTCTCGATCGAAGTTTCGACTTTTGTTGAAATTGCGTTTGCCTCTTGCACACAGATCGTGGGTACTGTATCTCAAACGTCCATCGTCGCGATAATTCATAGCATTTATCGTTATGTGGCCCTGGCATTAGTAAGTCTTTACGGGATCACGCTTTAACTTTTTCAATTTGAATATTATAGATGGATAAAATTTCTATCAAACTTTATTGTTTTTTACGGATGTGAACAAACCTGTATACCTGCAAACTTAATTCTTTTTGGTTCTAGAAAAATCTGCCTTATTTATTAGATTCGACATAAGAGTAGGTAGGTATTCGAAAATAAAAAAAAATAATGAGTTAATTTAACCATACCCTTTGATTTTCATTGTAGAACACGTCATCATAATTAGATAAATCCCCGAAAACAAATTTTTGTTCAGTCACTATGTCTGCTGCGGTATTCTGAAAAAATAAGATAATACATGTCATCGTATTTTACATTCTTTACGATACGAAACCCTGATAGGGCGAATTCTCAGAGTGAGTTCTTTAGTCAGACCCCATAAGGTTACTTTAATAAACTCTAAGTTATTGGGCTTGCTGCTGACAGCAGCACCATCATGATACAAATGAAAAATAAAAAACTTATTTTTTTCTAATTTACTCTGTAACTGCTTTTTATAAATTTTTAGTATAATTTTTAAGAGTTTAAAGAATCTCTTACCCCTTTTATATGAAGGTCTTTGGCATTTATTACTACAGAAATAAAAATCAAAAGACAAAGCGAACGCATTTTGAAGTTCAATCCACCGTCTTTGTTCTAGCCCCAACAGTCATTTGGAATGAAAATAAAATTGCCTGAATTGTTTGTTAAAAGTTGTTTTCAAAATACCAAAACTGTTTTGAACTTTCGCTCGATAAGTGTTAACGGGACTTCAGTAGTATCGTTTTAGTACTATGATAAAGTCTTGATTATATTATGGGTACATACTAAAAATATGATTTTATACCATTACCCTTGAGAAATTTGCAGAGAATAAAAATGCACTATGAGATGGTTATAACTTATAAGTCACATATATACCATATTAATTAAGTTTTCTGAAGTATGTATATTATACATACTTCAGAAAACTTAATTTTTTTTCTGTTTTCAATGGAAAATCTCTGGGGCGCAGTTCGGCTTGCCAGATGGCCGTGAACCGTGTCCAGTAATTAGACGTTATTGTCCCGGATTCCGATAATGTGCTAGTTTCGTAACAAAATAAACTAATAACGAATCACACCGCTGACCAGCTTGATGTTTTTATTCTGGGGGGTGATGGAGGGTTTTACTTGATGCTTACAGTGCGTGATTGCGGTTGTTATGCATCGCCTGAAAGTCTGGGTGTTGATTCTGCTACACCAACGTTAATATTGTGTCTTGATAGTGATTCAGTGGTATTTATTTATGACACAGTTTCGTTACTAAAACATACAATAAAAATGCATAAATACACCCGGTTCTCATCTTTGAACGCTAATCTGGTTCTAAATGCATTTCAACAAAACCTTCGGCAGACTTTGTTTCAAAGCGTTGAATTGGAGGCGATTGGAACGCTGCCATATTCACTCGAAAAGTTGGAGTGCTTCAGGCAAAGTTCATGTCTGTTCCTGCACAGCACTGTGTGTAAAGTTAACATATTCTGAGATTCGAGCCGTTACGTATGATGGCCTGCCAAGGTCCGCCTGGCACGCCATATTTTTTTTAGAGATATAGTCTATTAAAAACAGTCGTTGACTAATGCCGTTAGACATAGAGCATAATATTTCAGAGATATACTGTTTTGTCCCCTTTTGATCATCTACGAAGTTTCGTAACTAGTTTAGATGAAGGAATTACGAATGTAAATCACAGGAATCATTTCTCTAGCAACTTTATGGGGTTATTTACCTGAACCTCTAACACCGGTAACCTTGCCTACACCCAGAAAAATACCTACATCAGAATGGAAAACAGAGAGATGTCACGCAAAGTGAATTGGTAAACGCCAACAAGAAATAAACATATTATATGATATTGCTAAGAAAACATATTTTTATTATACACGATCCAGGAAAATTATAGAAATAAGCGGTTCAGAGGTATTCCATTCTATCATATCAAAGTAAATCAACAATCAGAGTAAGTACAAATGAGAAAAGTATACGACAGAGGTATCAACCCAAGGGATATTATTAAGGAAAGGGGGACTTTAAATCCTCGTTAATAAGGAAATTCAAGTTATAACGAAAATGTGTTTTTTTTATACCTAAGTAGGCAAATGACTCCAGCACACCTGATGTGAAATGGTTTTTCTGTATAATGGACGGATATGAGGTCCAATATATTTAAAAGCGTTATCATTTAAACGAATAGAATGATTGTCACCACTAGTGCAGTGTCTTTAATAATAATATTAAGTGTTTATTCAAGGCATAAAAACCCAATAAAAAGTCATATACAAAATTACGAAAAGTAAAAGTTTAAACAAAATAATAATAAATAAAATAAAATCATAAGAGAACAGTAAAAGGAAAATAGGTAGTATAATATTACCTACGTCATTTTAGATTCTCACTTTGGTGCACTGAAATGCCAGTATTTAAATAAAGGATTATCTAGTTCTTTTCATACAGTTTTGATTATGCTGTTATTAGAAAGATATATTCGTGACCAAAAAGAGGCTTTACGTCTTCTCATAACAGCATAAAAGTCTGTTAAAGGGGCATCTGAATACATGCCCGATGCGATACAGCATCTCGGTATTCTCATAAGGAAACGAAAAGCTTTAGCCCCGGATCTATTTATTAATTTCGTGTTTCGTAATACTGCGCCGATAATGCTTTGTCAACCATGCAAGATATAATGGCGTGCATAAGTATATCTATCCTTCATGTTGATAGTAATAGAAAGCAGCATAAAATAATATTCCTGTCATTAAAAAAAAACAATTTCTTTGTTTGAACTAAAACCATATCATCATCATCAACAGCCTATCCTAGTCCACTGCTGGACATAGGCCTCTCCAATTGCACGCCACTCAGATCAATTTTGGGCTACTCGCATCCAGCTTCTGCCAGCTACCTTGCGCAAATCATCACTCCATCGTGCTTGAGGACGTCTAACATTACGTTTGCCTAGACGCGGTCTCCACTCCAGAACTCGTCTACCACGACGGTTATATATAATATACCATAAACATAGTATATAAAAACCATGTCCAACTCGTAAATAGGCTTCATTTTCAGTTCGTTTAATTTAAAGTCGGTCAGAATTTTATAATAAATATATTGGAGTGCCTCTAAGCTTTTCTGTCGCATCAGATAAGAGTCTGATCCAATAAATGTAATATCATTGGTGCGACCAAGATCTTTTATCTTTTAGATTGATCTTTTCGTGGCTGAAATCGGAACTAATTTAAAGAAGGTGTGAATAAACCTTATATACTTCCTATTGCTCTTTCCGAGTTATATTTAATTAAAACGTTTCCTGTAGTGAGAAGATTTTACGTATTTTGTAATCCTCATTTCACCATTTATTCACCAGCAGCGCCCTCCTGTCAATGTCATCTACAAATGTTACAAGATCTTGGTCGCACTGTATCTTCGCAACTGAACTCTTTTCACACTAAAATTAGGTAACATACTATCATCAACTTTAACATATAATCTACTGGGACTTGTATAGGGAACTATAAAAAAAAATAGGCGATAAAATAATTTTATTATATTTTATTTTCAAAATCCATGTAGAAACCTCGCTCTGTCGGCCATGTAGAAGGGATCCAGTTGTGTCTTGACAGGTCTCAGTGGTGATTCCTCTCGAGTTGCCGGTCTGACAGGTCGTAAAGGGCGACCCTTATTCTGTTGGTAATTAACTTCAAATTAGCAACAAAGAATGTTATAGCCATAAAAGTAATATTATTGGGATTTTGAGTTGTTTAATTGAAATTGTTGTGGTGGCTATGGGAATTTAGAACAAGGTAATAAAAATAGCCATACCAGTCACTCGGGCTAGTTTATAGGAATTACAATTGAAGAAAGATCTTAAACCGAAAATATTGGTTTAAAATATTTAAAGGAATCATTTGAGGAATCACTTAGATCAAGTATTCAAATTTTAATAAATTAATCGTGCTTTTCTTGGAATACAACCTGAGTTTAGGGTAAAAATATTGTTTAGTTGATTTGAGCAATATTTTTAACCTAATCTCGTGTTGTATTCTAAGAAATCTCGTTGCTAAAAGTTTAATAAATTAGTCATGCTTTTTCAGTTTACTCGTACAATACGAGATCACGGTAAAGGTGAGTGTTGAGTAGAAGTGTTTCAACAATTAACAAACCTCTTAATATATCAAATCAGTTAGATGTATCAAAGGTAATGCTTACTTCTTTGTGATGCTTGGTACGAGTTTCATGGAGTTTCCTCTCTAAATTATCAAGTTTTGCATGGTAATATTTTCTTCTACCAGGATCTAATGGGTTGTTGTAGTCACTGTGTTCTAATCTTCTTTTTTTTACCATAGTATCGTGTCTGCTTCTTTCGTCGTCAATATCAGTATATATATCCTGAAGATTTTCTAATTTATTATTATGTGAATTTCTCGGTTTTAAAATCTCGTTATCCCTAAAAATGGTTTTGGGCGAATCATCATTTTTATTAAGTCTATCATTGTATAAGTCTAAATCATAGTTAGATTTTTTTAAACTGCGAATACGATTTTTATCAATATCATCGTTGTGGTTAAGATCATTTCTGTTTCTCGCCATTGGTTTACTTTCTAGACTATCAAAATTTCGTCGAATGTATTTTCCTTTTTCATGATTCTGAACATAACTTTCTTTATCAGGAGAGTCGTAATTTTTGTGATGTAGTTTTTTAGAAATATTATTGTAAAGAGGAGAATATTGTTTCGGATTAGCATCGATACTATTAAAATCTTTTTTTACATTTTCTGTGATGTCAGTATCATAAGGATCTGTATATCTGCGATTAAGTAAATCTAAATCATTTCCAACAATCGTTCCATAAATTTTCCTTATTTTTGCATCAAAAATTTCTTTTTTTACACCATTAAGCTCAATATGTTTAACTTCTCGTTCCAATTTATTTAACAAATGCATTAATTTGCTATCAGAATTCTCACTTGATGATTTTTCTGATTCTAAATCAGTAAAATAATCGGAGCTTAGTACTGGCTCACTTATGTTTGAATGAGTTTTACTACTGTTAAAATAGTAATTGGTATTCATAACTTTTTCTTCGACAGAAGTTAAAACTGTTTCATGTTTTAAATGGTCTTGATTTTTGGAATGCACCGGTAAAGGGGCTCCCTGTCGCTTAAAGCTCTTCCTTCTGTTGTTCATGTACATATTAACAAGATTTTTAGCACTTGAGAAGTCTTTTCTTGGTTGTACGTTTAACTTATAAGGGGTTTCTTCTTTTTTATTCAGTTCAAATATTGGAACCTTTAAGAATAAACTTGTTTTCTGAAATGAAACAGTGCCATTATTGTTTATTTCATAATAAAAAACCTGCTGTTTGCCGTTGTTACAAAATCCTACTTATAAAATTAAATGTGAGTCGCTATGTTTGTTACTCAATCACGCAAAAACAGCTGAACGGATTGGGATGAATTTTGACTTTTTATCCCGAAAAAATTAAAATTAAGGTTCCCGAGGGATTTAAAAAAACGCGAACGAAGTCACGGGCGGCAACTAGTAAAAGTTAACCATTATATCGGTACCTTGGCTGGAGTGTATCCTAAAGCGTTCTCTCTATTTTTGTGATATGAAATCTTCGGAACGATCGGGTATTTATCGAAACTTCTTCTTTTAACATCGCGCAATATCGGCTTAACTCTGAAAACACAATAGGTACAAATATATAAATTCATATTTTATTTTATCGTCACATGCGCTTTGATCTCAAAGTGGGTAGATAAATCGTATGATATATGAAAAAAGATACATTACTGACAAGTGTGAGATAGATCTTCTTTAAGTATTAAATTTTGGATTCCATTTACTTATTATTATGTGAAAAATATTTCTTCTATGTTTTTATGTAAAAAAAATCAACTGGAAGGGGGAACAGATAAATTCACTCACGTCTTGAATCCTTTTTCTCGTTGTCTAATATTTTTGTACACGTCCTGAATCTTTGCCTAAAATAATAATAAATATTGTCAACAGTCGCAACAATAGGGATGATGACTATTTTTTTTTCTTCGTATATCAGGTAGATTATCAAAAACTATTGGACACGTATTTTTCCTTTTTTCACATAATATGAACATTGCAGAGATATATTGATTTGAAAAGTCGCATGACGTCACGTTTTGGTACAATTTTCACTTAAAAGTGACGTCACGAGCCCCTACTCCCAAACTTTGACGCGCTATAACTTTGTAATTTTTTGGTTGACTGCCCAAAGAGAAAATACGTGTCCATTATTTTTTGATCATCTAACTGACGGACTAAATAGAATATCGTTTACTGTACCCCGTCATCATCCCTATTATCCTAACCCCAAAATAAGCTCTGTAAGACTTGTTATGGAATACTAGGGTGTCGGATAGAATAGAGAATACATATATCGATACATATATGTTTAAGTTGAATATTAAATGAAATATTTATAAACTTCCATGAATTAGGTACAGATGATTGTATTCATCATACTGATATTAATTGCCCCAACGGGATTTGAATCCTGGAGCTTGAAAGATTGTACATACCATTCGGCCACAGGGGAAGACACGTTTAAAATAGATGCAAAATATTAAAAATACAGAGTTTATTGTGTGATATTAATCTTACAAAGTGATAATGATACACATGTACCTATTTTGTGAAGTGAAAACTTCTTTAGCGGCGTTGTACACTTTTTTTTTGTATGGGTAAAAATAGATGTCGCTAAGTGCGCTTAAACGTGATTCATGTAAGTTGATTTTTCTGAGAGATAAACTTTTTTAATGTAATATAAATTGTCATGTTTGTGTACGATAGCGCAATAAATAAATATTGTATTCTACCACATACATGATAGTACTTTTATACTGATAGTTAAAGCAATTCGTGCAAAATTATTCCCTAACCATTCCAAAATATCAAAAATGCACAACGTTAATATTCAAGTTTTCACTTCTGCCGGCACTCCCGGAGTGCAACCCGTCGTTTGTTTTTATTGATTTTCTAAGTACACACATTGATTATAAATAAAATATCTGCCAAACTATTACAATAGTTTGTCGGCAGAGTTCCCGTGGATAACGATTAATTACAAATTACTTACAATGTGTTTCTTAAATTAAATAAACCAAGTCATTAGTTACTATTATAAAAATACATCATATTTATACACTGCAAACCTTTATAATTTAAATAATAATTTATGTGAGGCTCCTGTGATATTCTCAAAAAAAGCAATGTTTACGCGAACGAAGTCGTAGGTGGCCACTAGTTACATTATTAGTGGTGAAGTATATTATGTTTGTTAATCAATCACGTAAAAATGGCTGAACGGATTTAGATGAAAACCGGTACACATATAGTTTATGAACTATAAAACACACTGAGTTCTCAAAATACATTGAGATCTTTGTTATTTTCCTGATGATTCACACATTCTTTTCCTTCTGCAATTTTGTGATTGTTACTTTGAATAGATCCATCTAGATATGTAATATAAAATATAAAATTACTTAGGGCAAATAATTTTTTCTAAGTTTTTGTTTTGTTACACAACAGAAACCTTCTTTGTTCGCCAGCGGGCGACCTTCACCTTAATAGATTTTTGAAATATTCCTCATCATTAACTCTGTTTCAAAAGTCAAGCAAAGTGCTTTTGCACCACGTTGGTAAGAAATTCTTCGAGAGCTTTCCGCCAATATTTCCCAAGCAATCAACATTGTTTATGTACCTATACGCAATTATGTCAACTGGTAATAAGGACAGTTGAAGATTGTTTATCTTCTCTGCGAATTGGCAAATCTCTATTTGTGTAGGAAAATTCCCAGGAACAGGGAAAATACCCAATATTCCCTCCGATATCTTGATCTTACCGTTTGATGAGGGTGTGCCAATGTATCAATGGCTGAAATGTTACCAGTGGGTGTGTAAACGTGGAACAGGTCCGAGTCAGATACTTTGTTCGACCTGTAATATATAATGTTCATTTATTATATAAAACTAGTTTTTACGGGTTAATGCACGAAACTTTATTTATTTATTGACGTTTCGTAGCCTTTACAGGCTTCGTCGTCAGAATAAAACTTTTATTTAATTTGTCGAGCTACCTTCGAAAGACTTTTATTGAGCGTTTGGTTATTTCATTGTTCGATTTTTAAGTTTTATTGTCTATGTATGAATTTATTATTTAATTTACTTAATAAAGTATTTTATTTAAAATTCTTTTTTGTAATTTTGAGTTTATTTATTTGACCCTAACTACCGTAAACTACCACCGGTTCCAAAATTGGGAGACCTTTCTGAGAAGAACCGGCGCGGCGGAACAAACTCAAGAGAGGCTTTCTATCTCCTTCTTATGTTAAATTATGCAAACAAAAAGAACTAATAGTATCTGATGGTCTTGCAGTGTGTGCTCGGGGTTGGGATTTTATCTCCTGTATAATAGGTTCCCAAGCTGGTGGTATATACCAACCATCTTCCCTTTTGAAATTTGGATATTTTTTTTTCAAACGTCAATAAATAAATAAACTTTCGTGCATGAACCCGTAAAAACTAGTTTTATTTAATGAGTAATGTGCGTGAAAACCTAAGAAACAAATATTCATTTATTATGTTTATGAAGTGTAACTTCTTTACGCACGCTTGACTTGGGGAGTAAGCTGGCGGAAACGTTACAAAAAGTGTGATCGGGCGAGGCGAACGGGAGTTGAGTGGGGGATATAAGCAAGAGAGAGCAGTGCGCGCGCACATTTTCTTTCTCTCTTTCTCTTATAGCTAGTAAATGAAATATGTATGCGTACATACATGTATATATTGTACACACACATATATATAGGGGAGAGTGGGGTAATTACGGACATCGGGTATATGCGGACACTGTTGTTTTGGCTGCTCTAGCCAACCCCGAACCCCGCCACTTTAATAACAGAGACGAGTTGGCCGTCTTTAGAGCCCGGATTGATGTCAATTCGGAAAACCGCGCGCTTCTCAAGGTAAGATTAATTCTTTATTATGAAGTGGTTTCTTGTAATTTTTGTTCGTTTATAGTTGCGTGTCAATGTTATGATATTTATTTAACTTAAAAGCTGTATAAGATATGTATTAATACTGTTAATCACTAAATGGAATAATAAACTATCACTATTATTACCTAACCTAAATTTTTTTGCCGCAAAATATTGACATCCAGTTGGGTTAATTACGGACTGTTGTCTTGGGGAAAATACTGACGTATCGTGTCGGACCAGAAATGGGTACATGACAATTGTACAGGTGAAAGTACAAGCCGAGGCTATATTTGCGATTTCTGTAGCGATAAATAATGATACTTTATTATTTTTTTGTATTATTGTTGCGTTTCAAACTTTTTTAATGTCGCAACTGCAATAACAGTGCCATTCGTAATTACTCCACATGCTGTCCCTATTTACCCGGTAGGCTTCTGGTTTTGTTTTTTTATAAAAGAATATTGTAGTTGATTAGTTTTTAATATTTATATCTGTTAATATCATAAGGTAACGGCCAAAGTTGAATAATTAATAAAGAAAGACTGATTTGAGATTATACTTTATCTTTTATTTAAGGACTCCCTTAGGTGTCCGCAATATCCCCACTCTCCCCTATATACATACAGATGGAGCTAAAGAAGTTTCCTTCAGTGGTGTTGTCATAAGAACACTCGAAACTTTTTATTATTATGTTTGCTAATGGTGGCCCTGGGCATATTAGGATAATGGGGCCCTTTGACTTTGATGAGGATTATGAATTGAAATGGAGCGAGTCATACTTATGAGTGTACTACTGATGATATTTCTTTAAAATGTGTATGTGCTTAGTATACCATTATATGTATATTTAAATTTATCTAAGCATGCTGAAGTCGGAAAGCCTAATTTTTGGGCGAGAGTAGAATAGCTTCGCTTATGTAAAAGCTAGTAAGTTGGTATTGTAGTCAGTAATTTAGGTTCGATTTCATTAAATTATATAATTTTTTCATCATCATCATAATCAGCCTATTAATGTCCCCACTGCTGGGGCACAGGCCTTCCCTATGGATGGAATAGGGAGATTGGGCCATGACCCACCACGCGGGCTCAGTGCGGGTTAGTGGGTGCTAACGACTGCAGATGCAGCCGGGACCAACGTGCCTTCCGAAGCACGGAGGAGCTCGAGATATTAAGTTTTCGGTCGCCCATCCAATGACCGACCACTGCGAAAGTTGCTTAAATTCAACGATCGCAGCGGAATCTGACAGGAACTAGGGAATTTGTATTTGATCTGAGGGAGGCCCCTATCGATCGCGGGACCCTGGGCTCTTGCCCAAAGTACCCACTGGGAAAGAGGAGCCTGTCGGTAAGCTTAGATTAAAAAAAAAAGGGTAGATATGGCACTAGCCTCACAAAAGTGATCCGCATGAATTGTGGTCCACGACCCTAATAGCTTTAGTCATAACTTGACATACAAACGACGTACATGTGAACGCCAAAAAGAAATATTGCTAATATTTTGTGTTTATATGATTACACAATGCCTAAGTGTGTTTTGAAAAAGTGCTGAAATTGCTCAAGAACTAAAAATAACACCCACAGCATCACTTTTCATTCGTAAGTACTATAAAATATAATTTTTCATAAAAATTGCTGTTTGTTTTGAATCTTATTCGGTAGTGACGTCGAGTACTGGTCGCGTGATTGGTCGGTAGTGCAGTGACGCGGATCTCGCCGTCTCGTTCGCGCTGCCGTTGAAACTTAACGTGCTGTTTCGTTCGGGTCGGTAATGCAGTGACGCGGATCTCGCCGTCCCGTTCGCGCTGCCGTGGGATCAGTTTTTGTTTGATGCAAGTATGAGCGTGCCGTATCTACCCTTTTTGTTTTAATCTAAGTCGGTAAGTAAGGTTCCAGGGCTCCACGGGGTAGGGATTGGATCTTGTTAGCCAATGATGCGAGAGCGCAAGCGTTTATAGGCTGTGGTGGCCGCTTACCATCTGGAGGGCCATACGTTTTTTGCCACTCTTTTAACATATAATCATGCGTCGCTTATCCTTACCCGACCCTGGTCCCCATGAAACCCTTTTTTTTTTGTGTCTGGGTAATGCTTTCCGCATCCTTCAACCTCCGGGGGAGCGAGGAGAGGAGTCCCACTCCTCCCTGCTCAATTCAGCCAGCCCTTGGGCCGGATAAAATGATCAGAGAGCCACTAAAAAGCAGACAATGCTCCTGCACCGTTCACTCGGCACGCATTCTGGGGACCGCGGTCCTCCTAAAGCGCGCAACCCTGTAATTGGGCTACATCAGTTGTAGGGTCGGTCAAAGCAACTTTAGAAGCTCCTTACAATCGATGTAATTATTATTATCTCATTTATTTAATTTAATTTAACAGTTAGGTTTTTATAATATAGTTATAAAAGTTGTACAAAAGCGTAAATACAAAAATAAATATCATATAAAAACCTAACCTAGAAGGCCACCAGCAGCGGGACTAGGTCCAAGCTACCGGTGGTTAGGTCTGCAGAGAGAGAAACTGCCTGACGATGCGCGCTGTGTCCAGGAGTAGTCTTTTGTATCTGCCCCTTGACCCAACCATCTAGCGAGAGGCTCTTCAGATATTGGTCGTTACTCTTCGCTATGAGACCGTTTATACTATGTTGTACGTGTAAATCAGAAACTTTAATTAATAAAGAAGAAATAATAATTAACAATGAAGTCCTTACGGTTTGGGTGGGATCAGCTTCTCCGGAGGTGCATCTTGGACAGAGAAAATAGGCAACAACACCACAGCAGGCTTGCAGCGGTTGAAGTTGCAGTTGTCATCCACCTGGTTTTGTTCTTGGCTTAACACTATAAAAAATATATGTAAAGATGACTGGTGCAGGGAGGAGAATTGAACGAATTCGATATGAGTACCGGATGATAACTTATGGATGGTATACCGAAATTTGTTTAAGAAGAACAAGTCCATTAGACATAAAATTATGAAACGTTAAATCTGATATAGTTTTGAAGGAGTGTTTATAAATTTTCATGGGACATATTTAAATAATCATAAAAAAATACAAATGCTACTCGAACAAGAACAAAAATTAGCACGTTAAAGTTCAATATTTCGCAAACGGATTCCTAAATCGAAAAACACCGATTAATTACTCTAAATAATCAAAGGATACCCATATGTCGTACTATTACATTTATGTCAAAATAACTACTTTTTCATTTTAAAATATGCAATAGTAAACGTTGCGCCGACATAAACTAGGCCTCATTATTAAATAAATCACTTAGTATTCAAGAATGAGAAGCTCGATGGCGTATCTGAATAGCGCTTTCGGCCTGCGATCGTGAAAGTTAAGCAACTTTCGCAATGGTCGATTCGACCAAAATTTATAATTACAAGCTCCCTGCTTGGGAAGGCACCATTAGCCGTAAGTTACGGCTGCATCTGCAGTCGTTAGCACCGACCAATCCGGACTGGGCCCGCGTGGCTCCCTATTGCGTCCATAGGGAAGGCCTATGGGGAAATTATTAGGCTGGTGATGATTTAAGACTATATATGTGTATATTACACTGGGTCACGAGATATATTTTAATATATATAAATCTCGTGTCACAATGTTTGTCCTCAATGGACTCCTAAACCACTGAACCGATTATAATAAAATTCGCACACCATGTGCAGTTCGATCCAACTTGAGAGATAGGATAGTTTAAATCTCAAATTATAGTCGCAATTTTAATTTATTGCAAATTATTACTTTTGGGCGATACGAAGTTCGCCGAGTCAGCTAGTTTATTAATAAGGAAATAGACCAATGGTAACGGGGACAAACTTTTTTCAACAGCAATGAAATACGGGTCCTAATACAAAATGTTCACTATTAGTAAGACTTTTTTCACGGTAAGTTTATATAATATAATGTATAATTCAAGCCTGACAACAAAAGCTATTGCCTACACCGAAGCAAAGCGAGGGCGGGCCACTTGTTTAAGATAAAGCATTTTAAGTCCTTTTTTTATTTATCAAAAAAGCGGGGGTTTTATATCAAGCGCGGGACATAATAAAAGACTTATAAAATGAAATAAAGTAATTTAGTGAGGTACATTTATTTGTAAGTATTTTGTTAAAGAAAAAAAGAAAGAAAATATTTTTTATCAACCCTTAAAAAACATGTTAAAAGGTATTTATATAGTATGGGCTAACCAGGACCCTGCCTCAGCATTAGCTGATGCGACATTATGTCGCACCAGTGCTGATATTCTGGTAGGGCCTGCTTGGAGTTATATACACACTTTAGTTATGAGCAAGAAACAAAACTACGAACACATGAACAAGTCACACATAAAAGATAGCGTTGTTTTTAAACCATTCTAACCATATAGGTATTAACTTAAAAAAAAACAAAGCTCATTGTAACATTCAATCAAGCAGTAATTACATAATAATTTGAATGGCTGTATAGACCTGGGATCTTTTGCTTTCAAAGAAAATATATATATACAAAAAGTAAAAAGTCAACGAAAATTAAAAAGAAAAATAATGCTTATAAATTACTTGTACTTGCGCACAAAGCCTTCCCACAGCATAAGCAGGGTTAAAAACAATTAACTTTGTTACACCCGCACGGTGTATTTATTTCCTATCCTGCGCATTTTGTTCAATGTTGGGCTAAAAATCTTAACGCGTGACAACGCTATTAAAAATTTACATTGCGCTTTAATAGGGATGATGACGGGGTACAGTAAACGAAATTCGATTTATTCCGTCAGTTAGATGATCAAAAAATAATGGACACGTATTTTTTCTTTGGGCAATCAACCAAAAAACTGACAAAGTTACAGCACGTCAAAGTTTGGGAGTAGGGGCTCGTGACGTCACTTTTAAGTGAAAATTATACCAAAACGTAACGTCATGCGACTTTTCAAATCAATATATCTCTGTAATGTTTATATTATGTGAAAAAAGGAACAATAGGTATCCAATACTTTTAGATAATCTACCTGATAAACGAAGAAAAAAATTAATCATCATTCCTATTATTAGTGTATATCTTGTCTTTCAAACTTTTGTTTGGTGTCAAATAATTTTGCTCGTCAACAATATTAATCACCTTAAAAAAATGTGATAGGAAAATGTATTTACTTAGATCCCGCAGCGTTGTAATCAAAGATGTTGTCTTACAAAATAGCGCTACATTTTGCCGGGTGAAGCCATTTGTGATATAGATATGGGAAACAATGAAGCCTACGGCACTTTAATTAATCAACCGAGCCAGACAGGTATATGGAGTGTACGAATTAACAAGAATGCGAACAATGGACTCAGCCAATGAAGCATGTAGCGTTTCAGGAGAAGATAAAGTCAAAAGATTTGGGTTAAGACAGGTAGGGTACAGTGTATTTCCACACACCCTAATAATAATCAGAGCGCCCATCTGGGAGAATAACTAAAAATAACTTTTGGGGGATTATTGTGCCTATTGGTAACTAGCAGAGGAAGGTCAGGGTAAACAGGAGTTATTCTCTCTTATCCCACCTTCTCCTTTCCTTCAGAGGACCACGCGCGCTGGCCTACGTTGTCACCATTTAACTGTGGCCACAATTCCAACGCGTACAAAGAAATGTGGTGACTCATTTCTTTGTCGCACTATCCATAAATGGAATGCTATGCCCTTCTCACGTGTTCCCTCCCTCTTACAAGCTGGGATCTTTAAAAGAGGCGTGAAGAAGCAACATGCAAGCCGGCAGGGTGAGGATGGCTGATGTGGCAGGTAGAACTGCTGTATCAGCTATCTTCGCGTCTGGACTTCACTTTCACTTAACATCAGGTGGGGTGGAGTCATTTGTCGGACCTATCTATAAAAAAAAAACAACAACAACGAGTGATATGTTTGTTTTGCTAACGTGTTTAGACTGCGATGATCGCTTGCCATCATAGTGTGGGAGCTCAAGCGGGGATTTTTGGATTCACCCGTTTCTTTTTGAGTATGTATTCTGTTGGTTGTAGAAGATGACCTTTACAGCGTCACCGGGTCTGGGGACGGCGAGATCCTTAGGGGACCTCCAGCCGAGAATTGGCGAGTGCATTAGAGGTATTCCAGGCGGATGGCATCTCCCCACTGGGGGAGTCGCCTCTCCGTCTGGAGCCTCTTGACCACTCGAACCTAAGGGGGTTGGCTCAACTAGAGGGCGTCTCTGAGACTAGAACCTCGGCTTTAGTTAGCGGCAGATTAACATGAGGGGCCATGGCAGTTTGTCGAATTGTCTTTTTTACTGCCCTGGATTTTCGGCCCTACTATACTCCAGTCATGGATGTTTAATATGTATTTCTATATAAATACTAGCTGACCCAGCGAACTTCGTACCGCCCTTAAAAAAATAGGGGTTGTCCAGCGGACAAAATTGTGAATCTAAACCATTCTCAGATCCCCTTGAACACACACAAAAAATTTCATCAAAATCGGTTCAGTCGTTTAAGAGAAGTTCAGTGACATACACACTCACAGAAGAATTATATATATAAAGATACTTATATTATGTACAGTATATGTATTCTATCCGTTACCCTAGTAATCCATAACACAAGCTTTACAGTGCATACTTTCGGGCTGGGCTAATTGGTATGATTGTAAAAAAAGAAAAAAAAGTAATATTGTTCATATGCAATGTATATTTGTGATGTGTGATACTACTTTCTATTTTAAATGCAAAAGGTTTGCTTGTTTATGTCTCAAAGGTATGCGCGGGTCATGAATCTCTTTGGGCTATAATTCTTTTCAAGGTAGATGTTGTTCGGAAATAAAAGTGACAAGTAAAAGAAAATACTAATGCATGAAGTCGTGTTTTAATGCCAATGCCAATGAATTGTATGACGAAATAGTAAATAGAAACCATAAGAGGAACTAATACGGCGGGAAACATTGGAGAAATAGTTATTAATGTAGTAATTTGTATTTTCTTTAATAGATGGCGTTAGTGCGTTGATGATGTACGTAAAGATACGTTGTATTTGAATTTCGAACTTTCCAATAGAAACCTGTCATATGCGAAAGTATTGTTTCATTTTCAAAGCACACGCTCTTGGCAACCTTAGTGTTTGTCCAAGAATAATCCTGGAAAGCTGCGAATATCAGTTTTCAGATCACCAGCCAGGGCTTACTAACTGTGTTTATGTGCTAAAGTAATGTATGTATATTTGCAAGAGGAACTTACTTTTCTCACTCTCAGAGCACAGGCAGTTCTCGTCCTCATCATATCCTGGGGGGCAGCCGCATCTGATGGTGTACCCGACTTGGGTGGGTGGGTTCACGTTATAGACGGGATTCTCGATTCTGGGACGCGATGATAGGTTGCAGACCACTATCGCTATCTAAAACGATATTAGTACATGAAGATTTAATAGTTTTTTCTAAATGCCAACATAGTAGTGAGAAGTCATATAGAACGCCTGATGCTATACGTGAACTAGAGGATTGCCATGCCAGAAAATTGCTTGCGCTTTTGCCTCATCCTCTATTTCAAAGGGTGGAAATAAGCGTATATGCCTGATAGTGAACGGCCACCATATCTTTTTTTTTTATAGATATCTTGTAGGAGTTTGCGATACAAGCCATCACTCGCACCGGTGCCTACCTTGATCCAATCCCTTAACCCTTGGAGACTTACTTACCACCAGAAACACAACACCACCAAAAGGCAGTGTTATTTTACTGTCATCTTATGTAAGATGGACGTTACTTCCCTGCAATTCGAGCGGAAGATCTGCTATGTCCTACTTCTCTTACTACAGCGTTGTACTCCGTGGAGCCATTTGTATCTCGCTGACAGAAACACAACTATCAAGACATAGTGTTATTTTACTGTAATCTTCTGTAAGATGGAGGTTACTTCCCTGCAATTCGAGCGGAAGATCTGCTATGTCCTACTTCTCTTACTACGGTGTTGTACTCCATGGAGCCATTTGTATCTCGCTGACAGAAACACAACTATCAAGACATAGTGTTATTTTACTGTAATCTTCTGTAAGATGGAGGTTACTTCCCTGCAATTCGAGCGGAAGATCTGCTATGTCCTACTTCTCTTACTACGGTGTTGTACTCCATGGAGCCATTTGTAACTCGCTGACAGGAACACAACTATCAAGACATAGTGTTATTTTACTGTAATCTTCTGTAAGATGGAGGTTACTTCCCTGCAATTCAAGCGGAAGATCTGCTATGTCCTACTTCTCTTACTACGGTGTTGTACTCCATGGAGCCAGTTGTAACTCGCTGACAGGAACACAACTATCAAGACATAGTGTTATTTTACTGTAATCTTCTGTAAGATGGAGGTTACTTCCCTGCAATTTGAGCGGAAGATCTGCTGTGTCCTGCTTCTCTTACTACTGCGTTGTACTCCTTGGAGCCATTTGTAGCTCGCTGACAGCAACACAACTATCAAGACATAGTGTTATTTTACTGTAATCTTCTGTAAGATTTAGGTTACTACCCTGCAATTCGAGCGGAAGATCTACTATGTCCTACTTCTCTTACTACGGCGTTGTACTCCATGGAGCCATTTGTAACTCGCTGACAGAAACACAACCATCAAAAGATAGTGTTATTTTACTGTAATCTTCTGTAAGATGGAGGTTACTTCCCTGCAATTCGAGCGGAAGATCTGCTATGTCCTACTTCTCTTACTACTGCGTTGTACTCCGTGGAGCCATTTGTAACTTGCTGACAGCAACACAACTATCAAGACATAGTGTTATTTTACTGTAATCTTCTGTAAGATGGAGGTTACTTCCCTGCAATTCGAGCGGAAGATCTGCTATGTCCTACTTCTCTTACTACGGCGTTGTACTCCATGGAGCCATTTGTAACTTGCTGACAGCAACACAACTATCAAGACATAGTGTTATTTTACTGTAATCTTCTGTAAGATGGAGGTTACTTCCCTGCAATTCGAGCGGAAGGTCTGCTATGTCCTACTTCTCTTACTACTGCGTTGTACTCCTTGGAGCCATTTGTAACTCTCTGACAGAAACACAACTATCAAGACATAGTGTTATTTTACTGTAATCTTCTGTAAGATGGAGGTTACTTCCCTGCAATTCGAGCGGAAGATCTGCTATGTCCTACTTCTCTTACTACGGCGTTGTACTCCATGGAGCCATTTGTAACTCGCTGACAGCAACACAACTATCAAGACATAGCGTTATTTTACTGTAATCTTCTGTAAGATGGAAGGTTACTTCCCTGCAATTCGAGCGGAAGATCTGCTATGTCCTACTTCTCTTACTACAGCGTTGTACTCCGTGGAGCCATTTGTATCTCGCTGACAGAAACACAACTATCAAAAGATAGTGTTATTTTACTGTGCAGCTGTCTTGCTGCTGCCGGTTCTTCCCAGTACAGGGTCTAACACCGTAGACTTAGATTATAGAGCAAAAGGCGGATGGAGCGTACGGTACCACGCAATGCGTGCCACCAAAGCGAATACGAAGTCAAAAGTAAATGCTTTTTTGTATTGTGAACAGTTTTTAAGATGTGAGAACAAGGCGGCACATTTTTTATAAAAAAAATATATTCACGAGAAGTGTTAACAACACGATGCGTTGTGGTGTACTGACGCGAATTGATAGTCGCTTTTGACGTCGTATTTGCTATGGTGCCACGCATGGCGTGTTCCGTATCTTCCATCTGCACTTTGTTCTGTAATCTGAGACCGTAGATTTGAACCGATGTCGTAGGGACATTTATGAGTGTCTGTAACCTTTAACTGAATAAACGATTATTTCACATTTTTTTTCATTTAGAATTTGTCTCTTAAGTACTATTAGTATTCATATTTCTAACATGTTTAAATAATGTTACATCTGTAATCGAAGCTGCTACTTGGAGCTATTTCGATATAGTATCGGTTATTAATACAGTGCAAATGCGGGGGTACATATATTCACGCATACGTGAGCATGCATTCATATAAAAACACACAAACACACACACATACAATTATAGTCAAATGAATCGCAATGTAACTATTATATATCTACACTTATAAACATATAAAGTCACAAAACTAAAAATAATATTTAAACAGCTTATGTCCATGTTAAAGTTACCATTTCAACCACAAATCTCTCTGTCATAAGCATTAAACTGATTGATTTAAATTCAACGTGTTGACAAAATATCGAAAACTCGTTAAAAACAAGGTACAATAAAATCAATCCCGTAAATAACATAATTTACTAAAATTTTAGTGACCATGAAAGTTTAAAACGAGCTTATAATATATCTGATAGTGTAAACGCCAATAATATAAATATCGATTTTTTTAAGCACGAAATTCGAAGTTTTTTTAGACAAATTACTAGCTGACCCAGCGAACTTCGTACCGCCATAAAAATAGGTGGTAGAAATTTTAGGGTTGTATGTATTTTTTAATATCACATTATAAAAAAATAAATATTGTTCAAAAAAATTTTTAGGCGTGTGTAACGTAGTGTTTTATCAATTTCCTGGGATAACATTCCTCCTAACCCATATGAGAACACTACGTTACAATACCCAATAGTTTGAATTTTGGCGCGAAGGCGCATTGTAGGTTTCAGAACACTACGTTACAGGTGGACAACCATTATCACTTAAGGATATGAAAAATAGATAGTAGCCGATTCTCAAACCCTCGGAATATGCATTTAAAATTTCATAAAAATCGGTCAGGGCGTTTCGGAGGAGTATGGTAACTCATTGTGACACGAGAATTTTATATATAAGATTACTTCGAAATTCAAAACCGAAAATGTAGCTGCTAACAAACTTTACACTAATGTTTCGGCATTGTTAGTTTGTGATACCTTCGTTAGTTTCTCTAATAACACGACATACACTTGGATCAAAACAATATAGGAATAAATATAAGTGGAAAATCTAGATTTTCCTTTATAACTACCCAAAGCGTCTGTCGGTTGCATGGCGTGGATTTCTGAATGTAGGTATTTCTGAAGAAATATTTTGTAAGATATAAAGATAACGCTTGCGCGTGTAAGTTTATTTGGATCAATTTAGCATCCCTGGGGAGTTTAACAGGAAGATAAAATAAGAAACGTGAGAATTAGATAAAATAATTACGTGCATACGTGAGAATAAGATAAATAAGAAAAATAGTTCCAGGAACTATTACGATAAGTTACTAGAGAGAGAGAGAGTGTGTGAGTGAGAACTAGATTTTCTGCTTGAATTGGAGCAACCGTCTGGAGAATTAATATTACAAAGACCATAGTAAAATAGTATAGTAATCAAAAAATCTAAATTAAAATAACAAAATCATTTATTCAGCTGTTACAATCACTTGTGAAGGTCAAGAAGTTACGCCATCGGTTCGCAAAACTAAGGCAGTACACCTTGTACTGAGAAGAACCGGCAAGAAACTCAGCAAAAGCTGTTTTTTTTTAAACAAAACTGAGTTCAGAGATAGTTCTGAAGTCACCTTCCATTAATGGCAATAAAGTTTAAATAAATAAAATAACACTACGTTTAAGGGACTATTACACAATACAAATGCTTTTGAATCAATATTTGGTAGTATCCTTCTTCATTTCTGCTTTTATATATAGAGTCGATTGGTTGTCTTTTTTCATAATACAACAACAGCAGCTCGTCATCCTCATCATCTTCTTTAAGAATGTTAATTAGCACTTCGACCATTATTTTGACTTCGGTAGACACACGTCTAGAGGGATCTGCCGAACAACACCGACTAACTTTGAGACACGGCCACGCGCGTCTGTCGCCGGCCTCGGAAGCGGTGCCCATACATTTTCATACTATGACTATTGTCGCGAGCGACCGACGACAGTCGTAGGTAGCGAATAGTACCTTTAGAAGGTGTGTTGTATTACTATAGGTTATGTTTCAGGGCTCTACGGGGTTGTGTATGGGGTTGGGTAAGCAAACCGCGAGTGGGTCGCGAGTGGGTCATTTCTTTACCGCTTTACAAGGGTAAAGCTTTACTTCTGGCAGGACTTAAGTTTGTTTTTTTTCTGTTTTAACTTAAAATACTTTTTTTGGACCGACTACATGGTTTTTAAAGATGTTGCATCTTGTATTGTAGTTTAGTACAAACTTTGCTAGCATAGGTTGAATTCTTATTGTTTATCTTACTTACTAAATGTCGGTATCATTAATTTTTTTTGAAGTGAAACTTCTTCACTCGCGTTTGAATAGGGGAGTAAGCTGGCGGACGCGTTACGCTAAGTGTGATCGAGCGAGGCGATCGGGAGCTGAGTGGGCTAAGCAAGAGAAAACAGTGCGCGCGCACATTTTCTTTCTCTTTCTCTTATAGCTAGTAAATGAAATATATATATGTACATACATGTATATATTGTACACACACACATATAGAAGAAGCAACATGCAGGCCGGCAGGGTGAGGATGTCTGGTGTGGCAGTTAGAACTGCTGTATCAGCTATCTTCGCGTCTGGACTTCACCTTCACTTAACATCAGGTGGGGTGGAGTCATTTGTCGGACCTATCTATATACATACAGATGGAGCTAAAGAAGTTTCACTTCAGTCGTGTGGATGTCGTGGCCATATATGGTCGCATTTCATGAAATGTTTCACTGTCTATTGGCCACATCATGATGTGGTTTGGGCAGATCAATGATGAGAAATCGTTTCACGATATGGCCAACTAAACGCGCGGCTTCTTCATGAAATGGCAAAAAATATTTGATCATATTGTAAAGTAGTTACATTAATTACCGATAGAGGTGCTGCAAGCGCTTTGTTTATTTAAGTATATGGCGGCCGCTGCAGACAATGTTGTTTCTCGCAGTGAAAAAGTGCATAATTCGTTATTAAATGAGTAAGAAAGTGATAACAAAAGGTTTTCGACGAAAAGGCTCTCGAGTACTATGCAAGTCAAGCAAAAACTGAGCAAAATGTAATAAAACCGTGGTTTTGATGGCATTTCACAGGTTAATGTTTTACTCTTAAATTACATCATTATTCACTTATTTTATTAAAATACTTTATGCCAGCTAACGTATTGTGTTTCTTTTTAATTAATATTATTCTACCTTTGTGTATTATGTCATAATAAAGGTAATGTTTACCTTTTTTAGGTTATGAAACAAATTAAGGAGAGTAGGGTGACTACGCTAAAGAAATCCATGGACTAATACTGGCTGTCAAAATATGACATATTAGAATCTGCTACTTGAATTTCTTTTGTAGAAAAGGTACATTTAATACAGTTTTTTTCTGGCGCTTCGCCAGCCGCTGCCGCGGCACGCTCGCTTTGCTGGCTCGGCTCGCGCGTTATGGTCACAACACTAACTTAACCTAGTGTGAAGTATTACCGCTTGGGCCCTGAAAGTACAGTTTAGCCTCCTACTATTGTAATGTGTACCTAAGTACCTTCTTATTTCTAAAGATGTATTTGTTAGTTTTCTAAATATAAATGTGTAACTTCTTGACATGTTTGATGTTTAATTTAGAAATAAAATCTTTAATTTGTTAATTGTGTTAAAAAAAAATATATATTAAATTTGTTTGTGTCATTCGGACTTAAATGACAATAAACAAGTTCTTAACATATTCTGGATTTTTATTAAATATTTTATGGACGCCCTAATTATACGATCCGGCCAAATGTGGATGGCAAAATCGTTAAACGTTCACGATTTAATGATCTGGTCAAATTAAGTTAGCCACATCATGAAATGTGACCATTTCATGAAATTTTCGAGCATTTCATGAAGTGAGCAAATCTACGATATGGCCACGACATGGACATAAGCGCATTCGTTTTTTTTCATGCTAAAGTTTTGTCAGTTTTAAGTACTCAATTTAGTTTAAATAATTTGCGGACTAAATTTGGCTATACAATACAATGCAGATGTACTTTAACTTTCTTAACATATTAGGGTTCACGAGAAATTTGCAATGCGGTTGGGTCCAGTTAACAAAACTACGTAGGTATAAATACAAAGACAACGGGTGTAATTACATGAGGGGGCTGAATAAGCAGAACTTCATTAAGCCTGATTAAGAAACTATCTCTAATGTTCACCATTTGTGTTAACGAGCAGATCGTTTATTTCTGCTCCGGGTGACCGAGAAAATTTATTACATATCTCGAGCGCCACAGTAGGCCCTTATCAATCATGCAATGCAGCGTTAGGTATAGGTTTATAGGTTATTATTGCTAAATGACAGGACAATGACAGAAGAGAGCTATTCGATCAATTTATAATCTTAAAGTTAAGGATTCCTTAAGAGATGGGTTTAAAGAATTTGGAATAATGACGGTCGCATCATAATAAACACATATATACGAAAATTTATTACTCCTAAGAAAAAATATTAAATTGTTTCTTAAAAACAGTGATGTTCACACACTTAATACAAGAAACAAAAATAAACTAACTTTACCTGCTACTAGGCTTCACAAAATCAATAATTCCTTTATAGGTCTTTGTGTTCGCTTATACAATAAAGTCCCTAGCAATATCCAAGAGTTAGCCATAAATAAATTCAAAGTAGTATAAAAAAAGCACTTATTAAAAAAGCTTATTACAAAGTGTCTGATTATATTACAGACAAAAATGCTTGTGTTTGAACTGTTCCAATCATTCCAACAGGTTTTCTATATTAAATAAATCATGATTGTATTGATTTTTCTGAGAGATAAACTTTTTATTGTAATATAAATTGTCATGTTTGTGTACGATAGCGCAGTGAATAAATATTGTATTCTACCACAATAATGATAGTACTTTTATACTGATAATAGGTATGATGACTATTTTTTTTTCTTCGTTTATCAGGTAGATTATCAAAAAGTATTGGACACGTATTTTTTCTTTTTTCACATAATATAAACATTGCAGAGATAGATTGATTTGAAAAGTCGCATGACGTCACGTTTGAGTACACTTATAAGTGAAAATTCACTCAAAAGTGACGTCACGAGCCCCTACTCGAAAAACTTTGACGCGCTATAACTTTGTCAGTTTTTGGTTGATTGCCCAAAGAAAAAATACGTGTCCATTATTTTTTGATCATCTAACTGAGGGAATAAATAGAATTTCGTTTACTGTACCCCGTCATCACCCCTATTAAAGCAATTCGTGCAAAATTATTCCCTAACCATTCCAAAATGCACATCGTTAAAATTCAAGTTTTGACTTCTGCCGGCACTGCCGGAGTGCAACCTGTCGTTTTTTTATAACAAACCACTGAAGGTTTAAAATAATAGATTTTATTTTTCTGATGAGTCTTCAGACATGGCTGTATGATAATTAATTCTTTGATTTTTCCAAACAAACGAATCAAAACTTCTCTTTTTTGCCAGACCCATGCATGACAAATAATTATTTGTATTTTTTTTGCTTTAAAACACCTTTTGAGAAGTGGAAATCAGATAATAGGGAGGATATATTCTAAGAAAAGGCGAATTTGATGGCTTTGTAAATAATTGGCAATTTATTTTATCGAATGTAGCAAGGTAATGACGTACTAGGTGTTTTCCATGATTTTCAGTATTGCAACCTTACCAAACCTTCCTGAGCCTTAAATCATAAAAGAGAATAAGCCTTAAGTCAAATTAACATTTTGCTGCCGGTGTCATGAATGTTAATGGATATCTCCCCTTTCTCCCGTCTATTAACTCAGCCGGCTCAAGGATTGGTTTAGCGGTTGCTCGAGCTACCTACCAAAAACCGGTCAATTCCCCTTACCTTACGCGAGCCGCAATCTCATTGGGTAAATGGTCACCAGCTAATAACTTATGAGCCGGTGGGCCAACGAGACTGGGTGGTGCCACGGTTGCGGATACTTCAGCGACCCCACTAATGAGTGTGCGATTCGTAAGGATCTAGCCATCGGCAGAGGTCTGTGCAAGGCAGGTTCCGGGTCTCCGAAGTTCGAATCCCGCTGATCCCGGCCAGGGAGAGCTCGAAGACGTGCTTACCCCGTCTTAAGCCCTCACCTTCCCATTCTAAGAAATTCTGTTCGGTATTTCTCCTTTTTTTATGTTATATTATATTTTTTATGTTATAGGGCATACGATCAGAAGGCTCACCTGATGATAAGTGATCACCGTCGCCCATGGACACTTGCAACACCAGGAGTATCACAAATGCGATGCGCTCGCTTGTTTGAAGGTTTTTGGGTCGTATTGGTCCGGAAACACTGCTGGCGACAATATATTCCACAGTTTTGTAGTACGTGGTAAAAAAATCGACAAAAACGCACGTTTGTGGATAGCCACGCATCAAGATGATGGGGATGACATTTTTGTCGCGATGTACGATGGCGAAATGCAGTAGCTGGAATTAATCCGAACAATCTCCTCTCCGCAGCCTCCTTCTGCTTAATGGGAGGTAGGGCATAGCGGATTTTCTTCTGGGTAAGCAATCTCCACCTTACAGAAGAGCTCAGATAAATAACACTACCTTTGGTGATGTTGTGTTTCTGTTGACGAGTAGGGTTCCAGGTTCCGCGGGGTTGCGGATTGGATTCAGGCTGGCATGGTGATGGCCGTAGCAGCATCCCTTCTGCCGCGTCAACTTATCTTCACAATTGGACTCCACTTACCCTTTAGGTGGAGTGGGATATTTGTTGCGTATAAAAATATGACCTTCTCGCAGGAGGAAACCACCTTGCCTGCCAGGAGAATACCATTATTGCTATCTTGGTATGGTAGTATTGATAATAATTTACTCACATTCAGAATAACATCAGCCTTCGTGCTGTAACTGTATGTAGTTGATGCAGAGACTCCACAACCTAGGTGGGTACTTTGCCCGTATATCATTTCCAAGTAAATTTTGGGCAAAGAAGAGGTCCTGCGGAAGAAACCAAGGAGAACATGTAATTTCTTTATTAAAGAGAGATTTGGAGACTTTCTACTCGAATTGGAGAGCTCGTCTAGGGAAGTAACCTCTACCTTGGGATTGGGGATGGGGTTAGCATTTACAATTAGAAATTAAAAGTGGAATTTACTACGTAGTAGTAGCTGAGATGCAAAATGTAATCAGAACTTGTGAAATAGACCGAGTCGAATCATGAAAGTACTTAATGAACCGATGATAGTGCATCTGCATGCCCAGCCATTGTTACACGAAAGCATTGACATGCTTATTTATATTGTGTCCAAATAATCAAAGGTAAGGATTTCTGATACGATTTTGTTTTTCAGAAAAAAGAACTACTCATCCCAATTGGATCCTGGATATGACCCACCCTCTTCAGTTATCCGATTGAATGTACTAACCGCCATACTACAGAGACCATAATGGACGTGACTGATTTTTTTAGTATTCAGGCTGCTATGCAGCGCCAGTTGCCACTTCTACACTTTGCAGAAATTTACAAACTAAAACGAATGAGATACTTTTAAAAAGTGTGAAGATAATAGCAACCATAGATGAATGATTGGTTGCTGTGTAGCAAGAGCAATTATGTATCTATGATATTTTTTTTTTTTATTTAGAACACACACCAATTAGCCTAGCCCCAAGCTAAGTACTATAAGGCTTGTGTTATGGGATACTAGGGTAACGGATAGAATACATATACTGTACATATATAAGTATATTTATATAGAAATATATATTAAACATCCATGACTGGAGTACAAATGCTCGTATTCATCACACAAACATCTGCCCCCACCGGGATTCGAACCCGGGATCTCTCGAGTCGGCGACACCATGAAACCCGGCGTACAAACCACTCGGCCACGGAGGTCGTCAAATTCGGTCGGATAGCAGCCTAGTTTTTGTTACATTAATGTCGATGAAGATTGCAGAAAGCTGGCGGAAGAGGTGCGGGAAAGCACTGTATGAGAACAAGATTGAGCTAGATGACATGCGCTGTAGGAGGCCTACATTCAGCATTGGATGGCCATGGTTCCCAACTTAGGGGTTTTGCCCCCAGATTTAGGGGCTAGAAGGTTTAAAACGGACTTTTTTAGGGGCTGGAATTTTTTGGGGGTTTTTTAGGGTCTTTTAACAAAATTTGCAATTAAATCAAAAAATAAAGCGTTTGTTTTCTTTCAGTTTTGTGCGTAGAATGGAACGCACCACGATATGAAACGACTGAACTCACTGTGTGGCAGGTTGTTTCCTAAGGCTGTATGGACTAAAGTTCTTTGCCTTCCACCAGTCAAAACAGCTAAATAAGATTTAACAGCCTGTCATACATTTTCTTTTGATTTTTCATTCGGAAAATGTTTATTCAATAAAATAATTTACTGTAACTAAATATGTAACGTTTTAATTTATGAGCAACCAAAGAATTTAGGTAATAAGATAAGTAGGTACATATAATTTTCTATATTTAGGGGATTTTAGGGGAATTTAGAAAATACTTAGGGTAAAATTTTGGTAAGGGTTGGTAACACTGTGGATGGCTATACGCTAAAGAAGAACAAAACATTTGTATTTGTTGAAGTAGGTATACCCATAGACGAATCGACTTTACTCACTTGGTAAAATCCGGGTACTGGAGGATATTGCTAGGACTCGTATAGTCTTTCCTGCTGTACCAAGATTTCACGATGGCTGTCATGGCATGCAGCAGTTTGGCCTCCATCGGATCATCACCATCCAAAGTGTACTGCATCTTGGTGACTGGGGTCCATGGGTAAGTGAATCTGCAGGAGCCTATTATCTGCCCAGGGTCGTGGAATTTACCTGAAAACGTTTGTCTACATTTATACCGACATAACCTTTTTAATTTGTTGGTTTATTTAAAACATGATTTTGTACTTGAGTTAATATTATTCAATGCGAAACAACAGATGGCCTCAAATTTAGGTTTGTGTAGTGCCTTGGATTTCATCGTCACTTTCTTTATAAACACTTGATTGATAATAAATTGGACGTAGAAATGATAGTCTTCTTTATTGCCTCCTGTTTGAGTATTTCACTTTTTTCACAAGGTTAATACTTTTTTAAAATTGATCTAGCACTGTGCCTGGAAAAAGTAGAGTTCCTCAAAATTTTAATATAAAGAGTTCATAAATTCCTTCTGAAATATAATGGTAAGGATTTATAAATTAAATGTCATGTCCCGGCTTACTGCTAGGAACGAAATACACCAGAGAAAATTCAAAAGTGGCTTGAGTGATTGAAAGATTGAGAAGTAACCGGCTGTCATTGTAAGGACTTAAAATGATAAGATACTTATTAGACGCAGGTGATTAGGGGGTTGAACATGAATGTGGACGGGTGTACATGTAGAAGAAGAGAAAGCCCAGAGCATAGATGGATAGGCTGTAAGATGTTACAATGAAGAAACAAGTGAATGCTGAAATGCTATTGATCACAAAGAATAAGAAAGAGGAGAACTTAATAATGCGCCAACTCTAAATAAATTGGGAACAGGATAGGAGAATCATGATTCAACTTAAAGCTAGATGGGGCATGATCTTATAAGAATAAAAGATCCCCTAAATTAATAAATACATACTGGTAGCTCTGCAAAGGTCGTGCTTCAGCTCGCACTGGTTGGCTAACACCTGAGCGAAGGTGGCCAGTTCACTATCCCATTGCTGCGAGATAAAAATAATGTGTCATCATCATTAGCGTTCAATCCCATTGATAGGATACAGGCATTTCCTATAGATAAAATAAGGTAGGAAGATCATGGGGCAAATTATGTAACTTAATTTCTTCTGTAATCCCCTCTACAGCTAAAGTTAGTGTGAAAAAAAGAGTGTAATATATTCAGGGGTCATGTATGTATGCATTTAAAATTCTTTATTGCAACATAACTTCTAAACGCCTGAAACGATTAAGGGCGCTTTCAATTTATGCGTTTCTTGACGGTCAGCTGCGGTTTGCGGCGAGTTTTGTATGAAAAAAAAAGGATCGTCCGTACGCTGTACGACAAACGTACTGCTTCGGCACCGTAGCACGCCGTCAAGAAACGCATAAATTGAAAGCGCCTTAAGATGTGTGAGTCTGTCACCATCATAGGTCAACAGCAATGTCAAAATGTCAATTATTTGGAGAAGTATACGCAAAGCTCGACATAGATGATGCTGCAAACGCTTGACCCAAACCACAGCCGAATATTGCAGCTGTCAAATTTTTAAACGTGTTTTTTGTTAAATAAAACTAGTTTTTACGGGTTAATGCACGAAACTTTATTTATTTATTGACGTTTCGCAGCCTTTTCAGGTCTGCATCGTCAGAATAATGATTTTATTTAAAATTGTCGAGCTACCTTCGAAAGAATTATGTTACAATGTTACAATGAAATTATTAACATAATTCTTTCGAAGGTAGCTCGACAATTTTAAATAAAATCATTATTCTGACGATGCAGACCTGAAAAGGCTGCGAAACGTCAATAAATAAATAAAGTTTCGTGCATTAACCCGTAAAAACTAGTTTTATTTAATGAGTGATGTGCGTGAAAACCTAAGAAACAAAAATGTGTTTTTTGTTGTTAAAAATATTAAATAGGTGGTAAAAGCGTATTCAACATGGTCTGTAATACAGCTGAAAACAGAGTTGAGAGGAGCATCTGTGCAAGACAGAAAAGCTGATCTAGTAGAAAGGCACTCCTTCTATTATTATGCTAGAATACTCATTCTCGGTACATAGATGCATTTTTCATGATTATTTTAATAGTTCATGGATCGCAGTAACTTTTAGCGGGCTCATTCAGTCAAATCTATCTTATTTTTACATCAGTCAGACATCACATAGAGTTAGGTTGCCTCTGGCTAAAATGGGAAGTATAACATTGGGTTTTTTTTACAGACTTGAGGCAATTTAAATTAAATAATTAATTAAAATAATATTTAATTTAAATTTTTAGACCGCAATTTTAATTTTGGTGCAGTTTTTTTTGATCAAAATGAAGACATTCAGCTGCAATTACCTGTTTCAGATACATACCATGGTGTAAACAGCAGCTCAGTTCCCCCCCCCCCCCCCCTTTCAAAGCAACATATAAAATTATATTTTAGTCGGGAAGCGTGTAGTTTTCTCACAATAATCAGGAATTGCACAACGCGGCATTTGTAAGTTGTTTAATAAAAATATTTAAAATTAGTATAAGCTAATAGGTATGTATTTGATAGAAGTTTTGGGTCAAGCGATTACAGCGCCCCTAGTGGGAAAATTTTGCACATTTCTTGTCCAAAAGTCTTTAAAAAATAGGTATCATTTGAAAGGTATTAATGAGATCACATCATATATTAAAATTTAGTAGCATTAATAACCGGGTTACCTGTAAAACGATTATTACTGTTTAGTTTTTTTAACGGCAGTCGGATTTTTGATTTTTGTATTTATTTGACATAAGATAATCCGTTTCCCCAAATGTCCAATAACAGCGATTGCGTTATGGCTAATTTACAAGCTATTTGGCTGCTGGCTACGAGGCCAGAGGGATTTAGATAATAAAGCTTAATAAACTCACCACATTTAGTGGTGATGGAGGACAGAATCTGACTGGAAAGGAATTGCTTATTGAAGAAAATCAGGAAACGTCCCAAGGGGCTAGTACGCTTCATAACCACAATTTACCACATGGGTCCAGCGTGGAACGGAAGATACTAAGGATCGCATATGCAGCTGTGATTAACGGCTTAACGTGCCTTATGAAGGATTGCCAAGTCCGAGGTAGCAAATTTAGTTTTAGTGAATTATGTTAAATAATTCCGATACGATTCTCTAAACCAGTGGTTCTTAATCTTTTACTGACGAGGAATTAATTGTCAACATTTCTGTCTTTTCACGGACTACCGCTTACGATTTGCACTACCTTTTAGATTTAAGAAATCAATCAGCTTCCTTACCTATGTTATATTTTTTCGAACGGCCTCGCAGACTACTTCGTGTGCTTCCAGGGACCGCCAGTGGTTCGCATACCACCGGTTAAGTATCACTGCTCTAAACTCTTGTAATAAGGCCCAGGAAAAAATCAACTTAGTTAGCTTACCAGCTTCATCATTCCATAGGCTCTGGGCAGCAGTTCTCCATTCAGACCTTTCTCTTTACCAAGAGCCAGTCTTCCTCGGGCACTGCGAAATATTTCCAGATTCATTAAGTTGTGAACTGAGTTCCATGTAAAGATTAATTTCTGCAAAGAAATTTGTGGAGTGTTTTACGTTACCACTAATAGAAGCGAACACAGGCTGGTATTTTTTATTTGATAACAGGGTCATGTTAAAATGATGAATAATGTTACTCACGCATTTATAAGTTCCAACAATTTGTTAGACAATATTGTATCCATAGTAACATTTTGAGGTTCGAAGCAACGAGGTCCCATTATTCTGTTCTGGAATTGGAAAGATGTAATTCCTGTTATGAATCCTATCCACTCATTTATCGTAGCTCGAAAGCTCTAAATTTTCAGGATCTTAACCACTAAAATCATAGACAATACCCACGCACCGTTCATCCAACTGCACTCTAAGTACCGAAGTCACCCGATTACGTGTCGGGAGTGCGAGTGTAGTCGAAGCTCTCGATGAGGACGGTCAGGCATCCGCAAGGTGATTGTCTGCGAATGGACCTACCCCTTAATGTACGGTGCCTTGGAATATCAGAGGCACTCATCACAGGTACGGGAACCAGTGGCATGCAGACCTGGTTCACCTTTAAATCGCGCATGAGCTTGGAGAACTCATCACCATCTTACAGAAGATCACAGATAGATTACATTTCTTTCTAAATCTAATGTTGCAGGTATTAATATGCCGTACTTTGAATATTGCTAATATAAAATTTACTTTGTATTTTATTTTTATTATTTAAAATTCCTATAAATAACAGGGGTGACGACGGGGTAATGTAAACGAAATTCTATTTGGTCTGTCAGTTAGATTATCTAAAATTGAATATATATTAAATATATATTGATTTGCAAAGTCACATGACGTCACGTTTTGGTACAATTTTTGCTTAAAAGTAAAAAATATATAAAAAATGCGTGTCCATTATTTTTTGATAATCTCACTACTTCTTCTCAAAGAAGTTAGATCACCAAATAAAATAAAAAATATCTAGTTAGATTATCAATATAAAAATACACAATAATGGACACGTATTTTTTATTGTACAATAAGATAATCGACATATATTTTGTCATTGTTCAATCAACCATAAAATGACAAAGATGAAGCGCGTCAAAGTTTGGGGTGGGGGCTTGTGACGTCACTTTTCAGTAAAAATTTTACCAAAACGTGACGTCATGCGACATTTCAAATCAATATATCTCTGTAATATTATGATCATGTAAATAAAGAAAAATACGCGTCCAATACTTTTTGATAATTTACCTTAAAGACAAGGACAAAAAAGTAAGTCCTCTTCCCTATTTACTGGGAAATCGGTTATCGGGTACTCCCAGCGGTTTGAAACTTGTTCTTGGCATAGTAAGCTCTTTATGTAGTTAGTAAGTAACTTAAAATCGGAACGGTCTAAGATAGAATATGGACTCACTGGATCATAATACATGCACATAACGTGGGTTCCTTTATCACAAGAATGTTTCTCGGAACAGTAGTCGTCGATGTGCGCTCCCGCTTGGCTCATGCTGTCGATGACCCTCGAGCTGTGACAGCTGTGGAACACCAGCGCCACAAGCGGCAGTAACTGGAAACAAAACCCTCATAGAATTTCTTTGGACAATTTGCTCGTGGGATGAGGTTGTGATCTTGTGGATCAACATAAATTTAATGGGTACACGACAACGGCTAACAGGAGCCGACGTCCGAGTCTCAGAGACGCCCTCGAGTTGAGCCGATCCCCTCAGATTCGAGTGGTCTAGAGGCTCCAGACGGAGAGGAGACTCCCCCCGTGGAGAGATGCCATCTGCCTGGAATACCTCTAGAGGCAGTCGCCAATTTTCGGCTTGAGGTCGCCTTAGGTTCTCGCGGTCCCCAAACCCGGTGACGCTGTAAAGGTCATCTGCGACCAACACAGCATACACACTTAAAAAAAAAATTAAGTACTGAAGATTAAGATGTAGCCGAGGCTGCTAGAGATACTCCCAGGGGGAAAATGGTGTTTAATAAGAAGAAAGAGAAGTACTAAGAGTCTCCTGTAGGATTAGGCTGTTAGATTAGTTGAAAACCAGCGCCAGTGCATATTGCACTGACATTATGCTAAACTGGGCTCTTTTCAGCGCAGCTGTGGATACGGAGTGGTATCGATTCTGGCATGATTCTATTAACTTAGGACTGAATTTGGCATCGATCAGTCCTTTCATTCTAATTTCATTCTTTAAGTTTGCGTTTGGGGGGTCGTGCCGGAATCGACGCCAGTATGGTATATGTTATGTGGTATTTATTATAGATAATTGTCATTTTGTAAGTTATAAGTATAACAATTTATCTGTATCCGTGTACTGTGCTGAATAAATGATTTTGATTGATTGATTGAGATACACATTGGTCTGGAGCGGAATTGCAACGTATTATAAGAAGTAACGGACAGAACCTGACTAAAGAGTGCCGTACCCTTAGCACGAACTATTATTGAATTCGAATAGTTTGCGAGTCCGAAATGTCATTGTCAAATTTTGTATGGAAACTTTAAAAAACGGAAAAACAGCAACGCCCTAACGGCCGTTACGAGAACTAAAACCAGTACACATTTGACAATGACATTTTGTACTCGAAAACGTTACGAATTCGATATTGGTTCGTGCTACGGGTACCGATCTTAATAAGAGATCGGTGAACCGGGATTTTAATATAAAATATCCTCACATAAATTCGCTTCGTTCCTTTGTATTTATTATTATCAATATTTCATTAATGTGACAATAACACATAAAATAATAAACTCAAAGAACTAACTCTAAATAATTTCAAAAGAATCTAATTGAATTGTTAATAACAGCTCGTATTCTTACCACGTACATTTTCTTTTGTTGCGTACTCCAGTATTCATTAGATGATACTGATTTAAAATAACCATTGTATTCCATGTTACATATTAAATATCGGCGTCTCCGGTTTTATTATTACATTTATATTTGTTCGCATCCAGACTGGTTAATGTTGGCACATACCGTCTCTTCGAAGGAGTGTAAATAATAATAAAATTAAATTTCGCTTCTGCTAGATGCCCCGAGGAGTAAACAAATTAAATTCCAATTCAGTAGTATCCGCACCTTAAACGAAAATAAATGTAACTCTTATAAAAGCACTTTGTCCACAGTCTGTCTATCAATATATTTTACACAGTATCTTGTGAACGTATCAAATTAATGTCTAATCATCCCTTGGGGCAGTGAAAGGATTAAACTCCACGACTCAAGTAAACGCAGTCCAAATAGCCGATTGTGTCTTTAATGTTCATTTTATGAAGCATATTTTGACGTTCCTATGGGAATCAACACAAAAGAAAACCTATTGAATTAGAATCTAGAATTAGACAAGAAACACTAGCTGTGCCGGATATCGACCACCGGAACTTGGTTTCGTATAGTCGTAGTTTAGCTACAGAGTTTGAGACTTAGGCCCGTATTACAGAATGACAACTAAGCCTTGATCTTTACTTGAATACAGTTAGAAAGGGATATCGCTATGTGATATATATAGCGACATCCCTTTCTAACTATGCTCAAGACTAGATCAATCACTGAGAATCTTTCTATAATACGGGCCTAAGATTTTGGAAGTTTAAATAAAAGATGTGTGATACATTTGAAATTCTTATAGCGTGCGTTATATTGCATTAAAAAAATGCAGTTACAAAATTCGAGGAGAGGGGTTGGGGACAATATTTTGCGACCAATGGTAGCGTCGATTAGAATACCGCGTCATGTAGCACCATGCGGATTGGTGACCGAGTGGAATCTTAAATTGGTGGCATTTGCGTTCCGTCTTGCATAGAAATTCCAAACACTACCATTTAGCACAAGTCAATGTTTAAATTTAGATACATGTTTTGTCTTTAACTAGTCCAAAACGACATACCTTACTAACTTAACATGAGATAAGAAGGTACAAAACTTTTAAAGTTACTTCAAAATTAAGCAAAAGTGCTATTGAAACTTATCAACGAAGATCCGTTTAGCATCATTGTGAATTAAGATGATGAAATGTATGAAAAGTCATTCGGGCACAGTCATTTTTGGAGTCATTTACCGGACCTATTTATAAATATGCCGGTACCTTGCCAATTGGTCGTAATAACCGACACGTCGTTAGAAATGACGTCGTTATATTCGTTTTGACTGTATATATATATATTGTCGTGTGTGACGCTTGTAGTGTTTCAGCCTTCGCCGAGTTACCCTCCAACTTTCAGGCTCTTCGGGATGAGCTGCACACACATCCCACCACACACAAACATATAATATATATACAGTCAAAACCGAATATAACAACATCGTTTCTAACGTCGTGTCGGTTATTACGACCAATCGGCATGGTACCAGCAGAAATCCTATATAAACCTTAAGTAAACAATCCGCTTATACATCGGATAGAGCGAAATACCGCAACTATATATAGTTAAGGAAATAATGGCCAACTGTTTTGCTTGTTCCAGCAAAACAAAATATACTGTAGGTACTTAATTTTTATTTATATTAAACATTTTATTTTATAGTAAACATTTTTTACTTCTTATTTCGATATTTTATTTTTAAACAAGTTTATATTCACTATCTATAACCATACTATATACATATGACAATTTGTGTATATTGCTTATAACAACTATCGGGCATAACGTCCGAAGTTATATGGTTCAATCAATGTCGTTATATCCGGTTTTGACTGTATATATATATATATATATTCCTTGACGGGTGGGGTGTAAATGGAAAAATTCTATCTAAGTGGAAATGCATCATCTTTTCCATAGAAATTGATGTATATATGTGTGTGACGTGACGCATGTCACGTCACACACATATGTTATATATATATATATATACTAGCTGTTACCCGCGGCTACGCTTGCGTGGTTTTCCTATTTGAGGCTATCATCCTCTTTTGACATAGTGAGTAAAAAAGTAGCTTATAGCAACCCAAAGCTTCAACCTATTAGTGCAGTCATTGAAGCGAAAAATACGGTCTTACCTCCGAATTTTTTTACTGTGAACCGTTTTGCATGAAATTTTGGAATTAGGCTCACCTTACCCTTAACTTCAAAAGTGGAAATGATCTGAACTCCGCCTATTATTTTTAAGGGGTGTAAACAACCCCTTAATGGAAAAATTGACATTGAGCCATTTCAGCAGGTAAGCAACAGCAAGCAGTAGGTACCTACTGTGACGTCCGAGACGTTACAGCCTCCTTGTTTAAGTAAACTCTTTGCTTTTGCAATGCCTACGGTTGGCAGTTATATTAAAAAGTTAATGTCATGATTTTAATTTGAAATAAGGAATCGTCTGTCTTTTGATAGAAGGTTCCATTCAAGATTAGATCTTCAGGCGCCAAGAATTCCTCTCGTATTTAGATAAAATACTTTTATATTAGCCTGAATGATAAAACAAAATAAATAACTTATCTCCATCAGTATCTTTCAATTAACATCTACGCTCCCAGGTTCTATCCCTTCTGGGTAGAACTCTATACTACCTACCTTGATTGATTTTAAAGAAATACGATTTACCAATGTACCATATCTGTTTTTGTTTTCCTTTGTGATTTGGTTTTGTTGTGCATTAAATGAATTAGGTAGGTATTTTGGTAGTTTCTTCGAATGTATAAAATTGACTCATTGATAAAGATTATGGAAAAACACATAACATCGTGTACAGTAGCGTACTTAAATAGTACTGCTATGTGTTTAAAATAATTAAACCCTTTATTCTAATAATACTAATGCTTTTACATTTTGAAGTTTTATTACGTACTATCCATAGTAGTATTAGGTATTATTATGAGAGTGTTTGTTTTGTTTATCCTTCCTCGAAGCCTAAACACTTTGAAATTTGGTAAGTATATATAGTGCAGTCATTGAAGCATTATTACTCCGAATTTTTTTACTGTGAACCGAATTGCATACAATTTTGGAATTAGGTTCATCTTACCCTTAACTTCAAAAGTGAAAATGATGGTTGCCACCCCTTCTGGGGGGTGATTTTTTTTTCAAAATAAGTATTGTAATAAATTTTAAGCAAAAAATCATCTATAAAGTTTTTCAAAAAATCCAATACTTTTCAAGTTATTGGCAATTGAAAATTCGAAATTTTTTCGCCGTTTTTCATCGGTTTTTTGCAAATATCTCCAAAAATGTAAGTTTTATCGAAAATTTTATAAAGAACAAAATTGTAGCAGGTAAAACAATGAACAATTTGGTTTTTTTATAGAGTATTCTAAGTGCAATATTAAGCTAGATATAAAAGATCAAAGCCGTTTTTTATTTTGTCTGAAATTTAATCGATGTGGTCAATGCCATCTAGCGGCGAGCAGATGCATTTTATGCATTCTAATACAAAATCTTTTTATGTCATACCAAAGTATTTTTTTGTGATTTTTTCAATTTAGGGGTTGTTTGCAAGGGTTGTAAGATTTTCAAGGGGTTGAAAATGATTTTAATATGGGGTAATTATGTTAGAAAATACTTTACAATTTCATCACTTACTATTAGACATGTTTTCTAGCTATAAAATGGCTCAATGTCAATTTTTGAAGCTATACTTCTTTAGGCGCGTTCTGAAAAATTGTTGAGAGTGAAATTTTAAGATGCGCGCGCATCATGTAACACAAAAAATTAACACCATGAAGTTGGTCGCTTTAGCGACCAACTTCATGTGCCGCGCTGCCATTACCGCGTCGCCCGCCGCACCGTACGCATGCGCGGCCACTCGCGGTCCTAGCGCGGGAAACACGTGCAACAAACATCGGGAAAAGTTACGAGTTTTGAATTTAGAACAGAGACTGTTTTCATATCTATATATATAAAAATGAAACCCGTTTTCCGTTGTCACGACATAACATGAAAACGGCTTGACCGATTTGGCTGTTTTTTTTTTGTAGTTTTCTAATACTCTGTACAAGGTTCTTACGGAAAAAAATATAAAGAAAATCCCAAGGGGATAAAATAAGGAATGAAAGTTTGTATGAAACTTTATCAATTTTAAACCGATCGGGCTGAGACTTTGCATGCAGGTATAAGAAGAATCATAGATTAATGTCATTGTGTATAATACAAGCCTGAGAACAAAAACTGTAGTCTACACTTCAGCTCTACACCGAAGCGAAGCGAGGGCGGGCCGCTAGTTTATAATATTTATCCACATGTTTCTAGTTTGTATATTCGGAATACGTGTTTGAGTTTCATACAAGTGCAAATCACATATGTTCTAATAAATTATATTCAGTAGCGATTTTAATTGAATATTTTGATTATTTATTTATTTTTTCAAATTAAAACTGAACTTTATTGACTGTGTCCTTTTCCAGACTTTTTATTAATTTATTGTAATTAATTATTTGCATGCAATTAAAACCTAATTTTAAACGATGCCAAAGAAGGATAACTTCTCACGCGCCTACATAAGTACACGCACCCATTTTTTCCATTAAGGGGTTGTTTACACCCCTTAAAAATAATAGGCGGAGTTCAGATCATTTTCACTTTTGAAGTTAAGGGTAAGGTGAGCCTAATTCCAAAATTTCATGCAAAACGGTTCACAGTAAAAAAATTCGGAGGTAAGACCGTATTTTTCGCTTCAATGACTGCACTAATAGGTTGAAGCTTTGGGTTGCTATAAGCTACTTTTTTAACTCACTATGTCAAAAGAGGATGATAGCCTCAAATAGGAAAACCACGCGAGCGTAGCCGCGGGTAACAGCTAGTTAAAAACAATAAATATAAAAAAGTAATGTTCATGAATAGCGCCATCCGAAAAACCTCAGATTTTTAGTGCAAGTAAACTCGACTCGGGTAGCGACATCTCTTCAGTTTCACACGCAACAGCTTGGTTTTCGAATTGTTATTCGAGTGGGTAGCGCCTACCTCTACTCAACATCCAGGATCATCTCCACTTGAAAATTATTGGATAATACTCGATTAAGGGACTAAAATAAATCATAACAGCTGTTTATTTAATATCTGTCTACTGAAAACAGCTGATTATATAATATCTATTTGATGTTTAGAAGATTTTCTGGTAAGATATTAGGACACTGAAGGAAGTCGTTTTTTTTTTACTAATATTGTTTTAATTAAAATATCTACCTACATGACGTTAAAATTAACAATAAATATTAAAAAGTCATGTTCATAAATAGCGCGATCTGAAAAAACGCAATATCACAACTCACATTTTTAGCAATTAAAAATTCTCGATATTAAAGACGGGTGGTGCCATCTGATAAGTTACTCAGAAAATATTATTTCAAGAGAGACTACTCGGTTGAGTTGGTATTCGAGATGGTAGCGCCATCTCTATCTATAATCACTCGAAAATGATATTTTTATATTATAAATTTGGAGTAGTATTTGCTAGATTTAATTTTAAAAATAAGATTAGAAAGAAATTGCGTAAAATTACCTTTATTGCGTATTTAATAAATGAAACACTAACACAAAATACTCGGTATTGAACACGAGTGGTGCCATCTCGTATTATTATGTTAAGATAGCAACTTCCACATTTCAAATTTAATCTGTCTTCCTGACAGTAGCGCCATCTCTATCGGGACCAACCATGAAAATGATTAATTTAGTTGAAAATTATGTAAATTCGAATATATAAATTAAAAAAAGTAGCCTATAGCAGGCTCATAAGTTCAAGCTATACATTTACCAAATTTCAACACAATCGGTTCAGCGGTTTAGGCGTGAAGAGAAGACAAACAAACAAACAAACAAACACACTTTCCCATTTATAATATTAGTATGGATATATATATATATATATAGTCCTTCATCTTTTCCATAGAGACGCTCGTGACGCATTCCACTTCATCTTCATCAAATTCTATGGAAAAGATGATGCATTTCCACTTTATCTTTTCCATAGGATTTTTCCATTTACACCCCGTCCGTCAAAGAAGTGTCACTTCAAAAACAGAACTTACCTTTTCGCTCATAAAGTATACAATCTAATAAAATTGCATGCAATTAAAACAATAAACAAACAAACCGAAACAACAAAAGATTCGGGAGGTTTTATTACAGTTTTTGTTTTTATTACAGCCTTTGTTGTTGACGTCACTAGCTACGCGTAAACTTTTTCATTGACTCGAAAATCGGTTCGATCTAAAAAAGATCTGCGTTTATTTTTCAAAACAGTCTATCTGGTCTGATTCGAGTTAAAAATCAACTGAATTCATATCCGTTGCTTGGCCGCACGTCTCTTTTTAAACACTGTACAGTCAGCGACATACTCAAATTTTAATTATTATTTTTAATGGACTTAAACACGATTATTGGAAATATAAATTTAATCTTTGAAACTAGGTCCCTTTAGCGATGCAGTTGATAAATTAAGAACTAGTTTACCAATTGCGAAAAACAAAAAGTCATGCAACTACATAATTTCCGGGTTTTCATTCATCATCAGCCTATTAATGTCCCCACTGTGGGGCACAGGCCTTCCCTATGGTTGAAATAGGGAGATTGTGCCATGACCCACCACGCGGGCCAGTGCGGATTGGCGGGCTAACGACTGCAGATGCAGCCAGGACCAACGGCTTAACGTGCCTTCTGAAGCACGTAGGAACTCGAAATAGAAGATTTTCGGTCACCCATCCAATGACCGACCACTGCGAAAGTTGCTTACCTTCAATCTTCTTCATCGAGCTCCTCAGGTTTTGCATTCCTTTTAGTAATAAATGTTATTTACGGGTTTGCTTCTATGTTACTTGTTTTTTTACGAGTCCCCCCCCCCTTCATATTACTATCGGGGACTACTAAAAAATAACATTTATTTATTATAGTGTTCAGGAAGTGTGAATCAATTTTAATTCCTTCAGGACATTACTGCTTGATATATAGCTAAGCTTCTTGCCAAATTTTATATTTTTAGGCCAATCACAAGTAAGTACCTTGTATGTATAAAATCCCTTGCGAAAATCTAAATTATGAGCCATAAAGGGGACATAAACGGCCATATCTTTTAATTGCGTTGACAATTTTTTTCACTAGATGGCAAAAGAAGTATTTGTTGAAGTTATACTTCTTTAGGCGCGTTATGAAAAAATGATAAGAGTGAAATTTTTAGATGCGCGCGCTACACTGTAACCCAAAAGTAACAGCATGAAGTTGACCGCGGGCGCGTTATGAAAAAATCATGTGAGTGAAATTTCGAGATGCGCGCGCATCACTGTAACACAATAGTAACACCATGAAGTTGGCCGCGGGCGCGTTATGAATGTTAGTGTCTAATAATGGTGGATTATTAACCACTTAGTGGTTAATAATCCACCATTATTAGACATCTGTTCGAAAGGTACTTTGAACGATCCACGGAGCTCCATAAGATGATCGCGTTGTCAAAAACAATGTTGGCACGCTCGTTGCCTCTGATCACTGTTTTCATATTTATAATATTTATCCACATGTTTCTAGTTTCTATATAGACACAACGTGTTTTAGTTACTTACAAGTGCTAATTACATATGGACTAATAACTTAAATTCAGTAGTGATTTTAATTGAATATTTTGAATATTTATTTAATTTTTCAAATTAAAACTGAACTTAATTGACTGTGTTAACTATCCTTTTCCAGTCCTTTTATTATTTTATTGTAATTATTAATTATTGGCATGCAATTAAAAAATATTTTTAATGATGCTAAAGAAGTATAACTTCTCACGCGCGTACATAAGTTACACGCATCCATTTTTTTATTTATTTATTTTAAACTTTATTGACCAAAATACAGTAGAATGGTACAAAAGGCGGACTTGATGCTAAAAGCATTCTCTCCCAGTCAACCTTTGGGAAAAAAGAAAAACGCGAACGGCGGTATAAAGCTAAATATACACATAAATATTGAAATAATTATGTTTTTATTTATTTTTAAGCATTTAACTGCTAGATGTTTAAATCTAAAGAAAAGTTTACTTTCAAATGTTTAATACTTGATAAAGTATTCATTTGACATTGTGGGTTACTTACAATGCGGAGAGATGGCGCTGCCTTGCAGCTTAAGGCTAGGAAAATTTTGACGCAGCCAATAGGGCCGTGGTAGCATAATGGTCAGTGCATTCGCCCGGATTGCTAAGGGTGCGGGTTCGAGTCCCGTCCGCTGCCTGGCCCGCGTGGATTCCTTTCTAGTAAACTTTTCTTTAGATAATAAATAATATTAAAAATATATACGAATTAATATAGATACATATAAAAATACATACTACGAAAGGAATACACATACATACATACCACAATTATATTTAAATATATATATACACATGATGTTTAATAAAGTGACTTTTCATCTTAAAGGACAATGTAAAATTTTGTATGAGCGACTGCCCTAGCAATGTATAAATATTGTACTTAGTAATATATAATGCAGAATGGCTGAATATTTATAATTTCTATGAAAAAGGGCTCAGGAACTTTTGATAAAGTCACAATTATTAATTAATATTGTTTATTTCGATATACTAACAGATTTTTTTTAGTATACATTTATTTTTCATTTAATTTAGTTAAACGGAACATTTTCCTTTTGAAACAGACATAAAGTAAATTTTTATACTTTTAAATATTTGATTATTTCATGAAAGTTGTATGAGAATTATAAATACGTAATAATTAATAAAAAAATATTATAAAATTATGGGCTAGTGCAAAATAATTATACACGTTAAGGGCAGTTTCTTAGCCATGTCTTTTTGAAGCAGATGAGTGCGAACATTCCTGTTTATCTAGTCTAAGTAGCGGCGACCTCTGTGGCCGAGTGTTTAACACGCCGATTTTCAAGGTGTCGCCTACTCGAGCGGTCCCGGGTTGGAATCTCGGTGAGGGCAGCTGTTTGTGTGATGAATACGAACATTTTGTACTCCAGTCATGGATGTTTAATATGTATTTATATACGTCTCAGTATATGTCGGTTACCCTAGTATCCCATAAAGGTATATCGGATGAAGTTACACAAAATTCATGTATGAAGAAGTTGTTCGCGTGTGAAAGTCCGCGACAGCTATCTATGTTTATCTTTTAAAGTTGACTCACTATAACATTTTTTTGAGTTATCAAAGTTGTTCTAAAATAATGCATTTTCTGCGAACGTGTTCTTAACACAAGCCTACAGGGCCTACTTTTGGGCTAGGCTAATTGGTGTGAATGTTGTAAATATTTCATCATCAGCCTATTAATGTCCCCACTACTGGGGCACAGGCCTTCCATATGGATGGAATAGGGAGATTGGGTCATGACCCACCAAGCGGGCCCAGTCCGGATCGGTGGGTGCTAACGACTGCAGATGCAGCCGGGACCAACGGCTTAACGTGCCTTCCGAAGCACGGAGGAGCTCGAGATAGTAATTTTTGGTCACCCATCCAATGACCGACCACTGCGAAAGTTGCTGAAGTTCAACGATCGCAGCCGAACGCGCTAACCACCTGCGCCATCGAGCGCCATTGTAAATATTTATTTATTATTTATTTGATATTGAATTCAGCTGAATATATTTTTTTTATAGCGAGGTAGGCAAATGACTCTACCCCACCTGATGTTAAGTGGTGATAAAGTCCAAACGCGAAGATAGCTGGTACACCAGTTATAAACTGCCACACCAACCATCCTTACCTTAGGCTTGTTGAAAATATATCGATGTATCGATATATCGATATTTTTTGTTTGATATATCGATATTTTTTGCCGATATATTTTGATTCGATATATCGATACATCGATACAAAATAACCAATATCGAAATTCGTATCAAAAACGATATTTTTTTAATTATTAGCGGCATATCACGATCTAACTAAATTCGTTTCTGGAAAAATCGTAACTGGATCTCAGATTAATGATATTCAACATATCTATGATCTGTGCTGTATTTAGTATTGTCTATTATTTGTAAATCTGTTTCGCTGGTGAATTGGTTGTGCTGATTTCCATAATATATTCTGTGGAAGTGTGTAAATCTTTAGTCTTGTTTACGAAAGATGGCACCTGAGAGGCCCTGCAATCATTTTCATCATTCGAAAATAGGGTCTATTTTAGGGAGATAATTTTCGTTCCATTATTACACCGCGTGTCATAAATATATTTTAGAAAAATTGGTCCGATATATCGATATATCGATGTTTTTTTCGCAATATATCGAAGCCTAATTTGATATTTTTTAATATATCGATGTATCGATATTTTTTTCAACTTTCGACATCCCTACTTACCTTGCCGGCCGGCAAAAATGCTTCTTCACGCCTCTCTTAAAAGACCCCAGATTATAGGAAGGAGGGAACACGTGCGCGGGTAAAGAATTCCACTTACGAATAGTACGACAAAGAAATGAGTCACCAAATTTCTTTGTTCGTGTAGGAATAGTGGCCACAGTAAGTCGGTGGCAACGTAAGCCAGCGCGCAGTGGTCCTCTGAAGAAAAGGTGATGGAGGGATAAGTGAGAATAGCTCCTCAGAACTCTCGCCGTGGTATAGTCGGTAGAATGCGCTTAATGATGCCACATCGCGGCGTAATTGTAGAGACTCGAGTTTCTTAGTTACCTCTTCATCGCCAATGATGCGGGCAGCGATCCAAGCGTTCCTGTTCACAAGGATAATAGTTATTAAAAGTGAATCTTTAATTACACATCCACATCGACAGTGGAAAAGCAAAATAGCGTAAACGCCACTTTATGCATGCGGCTGCAGATGCAGCCGGGACCAACGGCTTAACGTGCCTTCTGAAGCACGGAGGAACTCGAGATAGAAGATTTTTGGTCACCCATCCAATGACCGACCACTGCGAAAGTTGCTTAACTTCAATGATCGCAGAGCTAACCACCCGCGTCATCGAGCTCCTCAAAATGCTATCACACTAATATTATAAAGGAGTAAGTTTGTGAGTGTGTATGTTTGTTACTTTTTCACGTCTAAACGGCTGGAGCGATTTTAATAAAATTTAGTATAGAGTTAGCTGACACCCTGGATTAACATAAGCTACATTTCACTGCAGGAAAATATCTCTAATAAATAATATAGATAAATAATTCTGAAAAACTCTTACATGTGTAAACAGATGTGTATGACGATACCTTGTCCGGCCACTTTCATGCTAAGTCACTGTATACTGTTCTTTTATTCACGAAGGCATTAGATCTGAAATGAAAAAAGT